CCTCTGTCTGTTCGTTCTAGTCCTTCAGTAGACATTTTTAAATCCAGACTGAAAACGCACTTATTTAAATGTGCTTTTAATATTTGACTGATTGTTTATTGTATCAGCGCCTTTGATCTTCATATGTTGGAATTGTTGCGCTTAATTAAATAGAGTTATTATTATTATTATTATTATTATAATTGAGTCCCAAGCGACGATAACAACACACGCTAAAACGCAAAGGCTCATGGGTAGACGCTTGTTTGTAAACAATGACACGCTATGGCCATCTGACGCATGCGCAGGTGACGACACCCCGCTTTAAGATTCAACGTATAAAGTGATAATTCAGAACACTGGGAATAATAATGACATATAACTATCAACACACATTTACGAAGAAAAGATGATACGGTCAAACAGTACAGAATCAAGCTAACTTCACTGTGAATGCATTTATATATACAACTCACGTCACCTGATATATTGAGACTAGTTAGGGAGTTGTTATCAGCCACCATCTCACAAATAATCCTAGTACCTTCAGATCCAAGGTTGTTATTTGACATATCCTGAAAAAAAATATCGTCGAAACAAAAGTTAAACGGAATACCGGTCCTGAGGAACGTCTCGCCCAGCTCTAAAGCGTGCTATGCAATCGAATCGACTGCCTGACGGAAACAGAGAACAGGACGTCAAGGGGGAATATAGCAAACACGAGGTGTTTGCAAATCAATATGGTAATAATATAAATATTAATAAAGATTTGTGTGTAAAAACTGTATTTATGCGAGTGGACAATTAACTCACCAGCGTTTGCAAATATACATTTTCTGTCAACATATCCGAAATATGTTTTGCTCCCTCCGTTCCAAATCGATTATCCGCCAGAATAAAATCTGTTACTGTGATGTTGCGCTATAATAAAAACACACGCCACAGTTTATTTTAAACAACAGCAAATAATTTATGTGAATTGTTAATATCAAATTATATTTGTACTGTAAAATTTGAATAAAGTCTAGAGTTGTAAATCAGAAGGATAAACACGAAATAAACAAAGAAGAGAACGAGTGATGACGAGAGTTTCGTTAAATAATCATTATCATGAGTTATATGACAAGGGACAGAAAAAGACAAATATAATTAGTTTGATTAAAAGTAATATTAAATATAAATATTGGATATATGTATATATGCGTAAAATGAAAGTCGTGTATTATTTTTATTGCAAATGGATTTACTATTATACTGGTATTTATAACAATATAACTGTCCTACCACCAGCGCTGTTGTCATGGCTTTAACATCGACCGAGGTGAGTCCGCAGTATCTCATGTTCATTACCGGCTCTTTGTTCTGTAACGTTCTAATAAATGACGACGACGGCACGCAAGCCAGGCGACGACACGACGCCCGGTAAACAGCGATGTCTGCTGTTGTATCTGTCTCCATGGAGATCGCAGCCTCAGTGGAATCACTAATGTCATCCGACTCCATGTTACACGCTAACGGGGTAACCGTACGTCGACTATGTCATCGTCATAGAATACATGTATCCGTTCCTATATAAATACAAGAGGGTAAATGAACAATCGCTCGTCCTGAACGTACGATACGTGAGAAAATTAGAATGCTTTTCATCACATAATTTGTTTTGCCTCTAGGCGCCCGTACCATTTATGACAAGACGTATGGGACTCCATTGCGAACAGTTATACTCTGATACAAATTTAACTACTTTAAGTATATTGATATAAAAGTTGACATTGATATATGACTTCCATATCAAACATACGAGGGCATTTTTTATCTTTCCTCGTAACTGCGTATTAGAAACTCTCATCGTCACCCGCGAATGTGACTAACGCGGGAGAGGAATGTTGTTGATGTAAAAGATAAAGGCAGCGTTCTACTGATGTTATATTACGGGTAAATGGATAAAATGAAATGTTACTAGATTAATGTACAAACGTTAAATCGGGGGAGTCGTCATCTACGCCTGCGTCAGGTGGCCATATCCACGAGCCTTTACGTTCTTAGCGTGTGTTGTTATCATCGCTTGGGACTCAATTCCCGCGCATGCGCAGGTAACGACCCTCTCGCTTTAAATGCAGACAATGTACAATATCTGACTGCAGATAATGTACGATAGTTGAAAGCAGAATGAATAAATAAATAAATAAATAAATAAATAAATAAATAAATAAATAAATAAATAAATAAATAAATAAATAAATAAATAAATAAATAAATAAATAAATAAATAAATAAATAAATAAATAAATAAATAAATAAATAAATAAATAAATAAATAAATAAATAAATAAATAATAGCTAATCCTTTTTCAGTGACAGCAAGGCTTACCACTATATTACTGGACAATTCTAATAAGAGACACAGCGCATCAATTAATTGTAGTTCCATGCATAAATAATTAATGATGTATGCCCAGCAATTACACTAATTTAAATTTACAGTCCGAACGTGGGTTTTGTTTTTATAATATAGTGCGCTGCATAATACATATAAAGAATAATAGATTCCATAAATATGACCCAGTAGTGTGCGTTCTCTTAAACATAAATGACACAATTAACTCATGATCAGCTCAACGATGTCACATCAAAGTTATCTTCTGATTTAGCGACGTCACTGTATGCATGAAATGCATACTTTCACAAAGAGGTGACTGTATGTATGAAATAAATACTCTTATAGGACGTCACTGTATGTATGAAATAAATACTCATACAAGACGTCACTGTATGTATGAAATATATACTCATACAAGACGTCACTGTATGTATGAAATAAATACTCATACAAGACGTCACTGTATGTATGAAATAAATACTCATACAAGACGTCACTGTATGTATGAAATAAATACTCTCATAGGACGTCAC